TTTAAATTAAATTATACTGAATTTCAAATTAAGATAAACTATATTTAAATAAAATAGACAACATTTAAAATTAAATTTACATTAAAAAAAATAATTAGACTATATTAAAACACTACATTTTAAATTAAATATTTTTTTCGAATGTAAAAATCATGTCATTTTCTCCATGCTGTGGCAGAAGAGTGGTGTGTACCTGAAGGCTTAAGGGAAGTTCATGGACACGTGTGGCCAACGTGCGAATCTCACGATCAGAGAGCACGCCAGAGTGGTCTGTGTCAATTTCGTCAAACACTTCAGATATATTGAGCTGCTGCACCGCACTCATCAAGAAGTAGAAATAAGAAAATGCAAACTGCATGTCCTCTGAGTGACGCACACGGTGGGACGAGGTCTTATCAAACTGCTGAGGGAAGCTGAAGGAGCAAGATATCAAGACAAAAAAAAAAAAGGATATATTCATTTACTTTCATACTCAAGGAACTTTTGAAGACATCTGAATTTCGGTGGCCAAAATTTTGTATCCATAGACTAACATTAAATTGATACATAAGTCTGTGTGTACGTGTTGGGACTCTTACGTGTCCTGTAGTTCCTGCACGATGAGTCTGTCAATCATGTGAGGCATGTGGGCGGGCACTTTGCGGGAAGTGAAGCCGAACTGAGCATTCAAGAGTCTGTTGACATAGCGGAGTGAATCAGCAAAAGTGTCCCGCAACTTGCGTCCAGTGGCCGTCCCATCAGCTGCATACTGCAGTTCACTCTGTAGACGCTCCTCTTCCTGTGATGCACAAAAAAAGACACATACAAAGATACACATACACTGATCAGGAGAGATTGCAATACTCAATGTGGCTGCAAGAAGTCCTGCTTTTCAGTTACAAGAACCAATTGGCTTTTTGTTTACTCTAGAACAGTGGTTCTCAAATAGGAGGCCAAAACCCACAAAGGGGCCACAGAAAACTTCCAATGGCACTGCAGGATGATATTAATAATTAATTATAATAATAAAAATATTTATTTATTTATTATTTATTTGTCTTATCTATTTATATAACAAAAAATAATATATAATTACCTATCTATCTATCTACTAATATTAACATTTATATTAATACTATTTATATTTAATATAAATATTAACTTTATAAATATAAATATTAACTTTAACATAATTAAAATGGAAAACAACAAAATTACATTAAACTATTTTTCTCTTCAATATCTAGTTTTAAGAATAATACATTTTATTAATGTATAATATTAAGTTTAACTGACTTAAAATGTATTTTCCCCCTAAATAAGTTGTTTTGCTTTTTTTAAAGAACATACGGATCTTGCCACTTCTGATTTTTTTTTTTCTCTATCAACATTCCCAATTTTAAATTAAACAGCATTAATGTTTTGGTTAAAATATTACATTAAAGGTGGTAAATTACGCAATTTTTTTTTTACATCTCAAAAGCTGACATTTTTACAAGGTTGTGTAGACTTTTATACCCACTGTATGTGTGTATATGTATGGGAGGCCTTCAGTTAAAAAAAAGTTGTAGAACCATGTCTCACCTCCAGCAGATCCTGAAAGAACTTCCTCTTCTCCCATGGAAGGAAACCCCGGTCCAAGCTGGAGGTGTAATACTGGAGTTTACGACCCACTGGCCGCCCGCGGAGATGGGCTTCATTTTCTGAATCTCTCTCTTTAGACAAGTTCCCCATCAGGGTGCTGAGAAGCTTAGATGCGAGGGGTTTCTCTATGCCAAACAATCTTGATTGAGCCTTCGGTGTAACACCATCAATCTGAACTGGGACAAGAGACAGAGCAACACCTGGTTCCAATTCAGAGTGTTTGTTTCTTTCCTCATCTTCATTTGCTCGTTTCACCCTCACTGCTCTTTCATCCTGATGTTGACTGATTACAGGAGGCTTCGGGTCTTCATTCGAGTGTTTTGCTTGTATGTCCTGGTCTTGTTTTTCAGAGTCTTTATTGTTTAGTAAAAGCTTAGCTTTGTCTTTGTACGGCCCCAGCAGCACTGCTTTGGTCAAATTAAAGCCTTTAATAGTAATGTCACCTAATATTAGCTTCTCGTTCAGCTTCTGTAACTCAAGCTTCACTTCCTCAGGCAAAAGGGATTCATTTAACGCAGGCACCTGTACAATCTCTACACCGCCATGGGCTTTCTCTCTAACTCTTGGGCCTTGTTTTTCTTTGGGAACCTTTTCAAACATGACCACTGGTTCTGGGGTCACCATGGTCAGTTTGGGCTCCTCGTCTTTCTTCTGCACCGGATCGGATACGTTTGATTTGGGGAGCTCTCTGGTATCCACGGCTACAGAGAAAGTCATGGTGAAGTCGTGGTTATTGGCACTCTGAAAGGTGATGTTGTAGTGGATCTGAGTGGCATTGTGTCCGGGCAGCAGCAGCAGGTGGATGGTCTTCCATTTGTTGGCGACAGAAGTGTGACGGAGCGCTGGGTTATCAGCGACCTGTGCTTCGGACACGCGGTTAGCCAGGCTTGAGAAGCTAAAATACGGTCGGAGCTCTCCCTGAGGCAGGGTGTAAAGCGTTTGGTTCCTCCGAAGGACGACACGGTGCAATTGGTTGAAGTTATCTTATAAATGCACAAACAAACAGAAAATAAGTTCAATCAATTCCTACTAGACTTAATAAGAAATACTCACGTGGTTGTCAACCAGGGGGCCAGGAAACATTGAGTTCAACATTAAAGGCTCGCAAAAGCCTTTATATATATATGGGTCTGTTGTGTTAGAGAGTGGAGGGACTTTAGGTCAAAACTGTTGAGAACAACTGGTCAAAACTCACCTTGTCCGCAGTCGCCGACATCGAACCCACATGCAAGAACGTTGCACGCCTGGTCACAGAATTTATCAGCCAACCAAGAGTTAGCACAGCCTTGGTTACAGAAGGACATGCCCCCCAATCCTCCGAGACCACCGCCGAACTGCCAAGGCTGCCCGCCTCCAATCACAGCACCGCCCACTCCTCCAAAACGACTGCTGCCTGCAGTGCCTGCAAGGACAAATAAAGAAATAATGAAACAGATATAAAGATGGGATCAGAAACATGCAATTGGTTCAATTTAACCTGAGGGTGAGTGAATAATGACAGAATTTTAATTCTGGGGTGAAATGATGGCGTCAAAGTACCTTGACAGTCTCCTCCATCCCAATCACATGCAGAGTTGTTGCAGGCCTTGTCGCAGTAGCCGTCTTTGATCCAGGACCCTGGGCAGCCCTCAGCACAGTTTGGTACAGGCCAGGTGAGATACACCTGTGAACAGAGAAAACATCTCAGGTGATTATCAAGGCCAAATGAGTTGTAATGGAAAGATTATTCGTTTAATAATATAAATCACTTCCCTTCAAAAGTTCAGATTTTTTAAACTTTCTTTTGCTCACCAATACTACAAAACCAAAACTGGTCTCTACTTTAATAATATTTTAAAATATAATTTATTCCTGTGATGCAAAGCTGAATTTTCAGCAGCATTAGTCCAGTCTTTAGAATCCCATATCCCTTCTGAAATCATTCTAATAAGATCATTTGCTTCTCAAGAAACATTTCTAATTATTATTAATGTTGAAAACAGTTGTGCTGCTTTTTGTGAAATCCATGATACATTTGTTTCAGGATTTTTCCCTTTTATGAATAAAAAGTTCAAAAGAACATATATTTGAAATAGAAATCTTAAAGGGTCTTTACTGCCACTTTTGATCAATTCAATGCATTTCTTTTGAATAACAGTAATCATTTCTTTACAACAACCCAAATATTTTGAACAGTAGAGTATGCATTCATAGATCTTTTGTATGTATGCAAATTTTCCCTTTTAAATGTACATTTTACTTCAGATGTGCATAAACTGTTAGACATGCTGTTCAAATAAACAGTCTTTCTTACGGAGACAGATAGGCAGTCTTTCTGACCTTTTGACCTTTAGAGTGGCTGTAGAAGTCATCAGGCCACACATCCTTGCCAAACATGACATCATCATTGAGGTAGATGAACTTTTGAGAGAGTCCTGGGATTCGGTGAATGTGAGTCTCTATGGCAGGAGAACTGAATGTAGGCAGGTGGGTCTGGTTCTGAAAAATGTCCTGAGAGACAAACACAAAACGACAACAAGACACACAAGACTTTGTCAATTACTGTAGGTTTTACATAAATACACCCAATATTAGTAATAGAATGCATTACAGCACACGCTAATAAACAAGGACGTCCCTTTTGGAGAACGTTTAGAAATGTAAGCAGTCTTTACTGGTTATCCAAGGGTTTGCAAAGCTCACCTGGTGAGTAACCACTGAAACACGTGGGTTATCTAGGTTTAGCCAAGACGGTATCTGTCCATTGGTTATGATAAAGATGTGCCGCACCCATGGTGCGTGTTTTTCAATAGAACGTAGTGAATAACGCAGCTCCTCATTGTCTTCAAAGCGACTGGCAGAAACATCCTCATCCTGTTTAGACTGAAAAAGAGGAAGACTGCTTATTACGAAGTTATCTATTCATATTTTTTTTTAGTTAAGTGAACGCTTATCGAGCACACATTGGCTTACATTTTTGTGTGAAATTACAGTAAAATGTGCACCTGTGAGATGGCGCTAAGGTCCCAGAACAGGTATGCCGGACTGACTGTGAGCTCTTTTCCTTCCAACGTCAGGTTCTTCTTGGCCTGCTGGGTGAGGTCAGTAAAATCCTGCACTGTGTTTAGGTGGAGAAGAGCAATACTGGCCTCCGAGTACAGCTGCAACTGAGATAAATACATATACAAACAGTCACCCAGCAAGCACAGACTATTTAAGCAAATAAGCAAAGCTGCTTATTTGCTTTTTTACTTTTTAATTGCTGCTTATAACAGCTCCACAATCTGTGCCCTTTTCAAATCATTCCCATGCCACTGCTAAATCTACAGTAATAATACACACACACGTAGTAAACTTTTGGATGATGTTAATTTTCCCATCATTTCTAACTTCCTCTATCAGAAGGTTCTAGAGACACACCACAGCCATGTGACTGCCAGCATGCAGCCAAACTCCTGCGATGATGAGTTTGCGATCAGGTTTCCCTCAAAACAAGTTTTATCACTTGTCACAAAGCTGTTTACAAGCAGAGGGTCTTCATTGTTACCGTTCCCATTCCTCCAGTTAATGCCAAAAGAAGACTGCAGAGAGTCAAAATAGTTATCTATCAATAGCATTTACACAGAAAATGTGTTTCCAGGAACACCATCACTGCTTTGCCTGAAAGAAAAGGCCTTCTTCAGAAGTGTAGTGACACTGCCATCATCACATTAAGAAAAAACAACCTGCAGAACCAAAATAGTGAAGGGGGGAGTGTTTGTGTTTATAGATGCATATTTTATGTACAATATAGACAACAGGCTAAATCAATGGTTAAAGCTTAATTAGTTAATGACGTAATTAGTTAATATTTTATTACAACAAACTATTCTGAACCAAAAACCTAAAACAAAAATTTCTGCGTATTTATAACCAAGACATTATTTATGAATAGATTTTCCAATCGAGGACATCCCCAAAGGGACAATTTGCTAGATTTAGCTTACTTCTGGTGACAAATTTGTCCCCAACCTATAACTAAGTAGATTCCCCACACACACTTCACTGGCAGTATTTCTTGTGTAACAGTGTGTGCATTGGACAGAGGTCAAGGGAGAGCTTTCATCAACATTGCAAACAGGCTAACACACACTATAAATACAAGCCATCTCTCAACACTCAACTTCTCGCTCACTCTCTCTCTCCCTTTCTTTATCTGTTCCTCAGCTTCATTCTTTGCTATATTACCTTATGTGACCCACATTTGGATTAAAGACACATACAATACTAAAAGGAAAAAAAACCTACAGAAGACTCCCCCATCGTTCCGATTGGAATACAATAATGAGCAGAACAAGATATGAAAGGAAAGTTGTGGAGCTGTGGAAATTTCTGTTAGAAGGAGAGAATAGGACAAAAAAGTTTAAGATAAGAGTTACAGAGGGTATATGCAAGTGAAAAAGCAAACAAATACAAGAACAAAAGAAAGCAGCATGAATGAAAGCAAAAATGAACAAGAATGAAATCAAGCGGGGCCACAGAAAACTTCCAATGGCACTGCAGGATGATATTAATAATTAATTATAATAATAAAAATATTTATTTATTTATTATTTATTTGTCTTATCTATTTATATAACAAAAAATAATATATAATTACCTATCTATCTATCTACTAATATTAACATTTATATTAATACTATTTATATTTAATATAAATATTAACTTTATAAATATAAATATTAACTTTAACATAATTAAAATGGAAAACAACAAAATTACATTAAACTATTTTTCTCTTCAATATCTAGTTTTAAGAATAATACATTTTATTAATGTATAATATTAAGTTTAACTGACTTAAAATGTATTTTCCCCCTAAATAAGTTGTTTTGCTTTTTTTAAAGAACATACGGATCTTGCCACTTCTGATTTTTTTTTTTCTCTATCAACATTCCCAATTTTAAATTAAACAGCATTAATGTTTTGGTTAAAATATTACATTAAAGGTGGTAAATTACGTAATTTTTTTTTTACATCTCAAAAGCTGACATTTTTACAAGGTTGTGTAGACTTTTATACCCACTGTATGTGTGTATATGTATGGGAGGCCTTCAGTTAAAAAAAAGTTGTAGAACCATGTCTCACCTCCAGCAGATCCTGAAAGAACTTCCTCTTCTCCCATGGAAGGAAACCCCGGTCCAAGCTGGAGATGTAATACTGGCGTTTACGACCCACTGGCCGCCCGCGGAGATGGGCTTCATTTTCTGAATCTCTCTCTTTAGACAAGTTCCCCATCAGGGTGCTGAGAAGCTTAGATGCGAGGGGTTTCTCTATGCCAAACAATCTTGATTGAGCCTTCGGTGTAACACCATCAATCTGAACTGGGACAAGAGACAGAGCAACACCTGGTTCCAATTCAGAGTGTTTGTTTCTTTCCTCATCTTCATTTGCTCGTTTCACCCTCACTGCTCTTTCATCCTGATGTTGACTGATTACAGGAGGCTTCGGGTCTTCATTCGAGTGTTTTGCTTGTATGTCCTGGTCTTGTTTTTCAGAGTCTTTATTGTTTAGTAAAAGCTTAGCTTTGTCTTTGTACGGCCCCAGCAGCACTGCTTTGGTCAAATTAAAGCCTTTAATAGTAATGTCACCTAATATTAGCTTCTCGTTCAGCTTCTGTAACTCAAGCTTCACTTCCTCAGGCAAAAGGGATTCATTTAACGCAGGCACCTGTACAATCTCTACACCGCCATGGGCTTTCTCTCTAACTCTTGGGCCTTGTTTTTCTTTGGGAACCTTTTCAAACATGACCACTGGTTCTGGGGTCACCACGGTCAGTTTGGGCTCCTCGTCTTTCTTCTGCACCGGATCGGATATGTTTGATTTGGGGAGCTCTCTGGTATCCACGGCTACAGAGAAAGTCATGGTGAAGTCGTGGTTATTGGCACTCTGAAAGGTGATGTTGTAGTGGATCTGAGTGGCATTGTGTCCGGGCAGCAGCAGCAGGTGGATGGTCTTCCATTTGTTGGCGACAGAAGTGTGACGGAGCGCTGGGTTATCAGCGACCTGTGCTTCGGACACGCGGTTAGCCAGGCTTGAGAAGCTAAAATACGGTCGGAGCTCTCCCTGAGGCAGGGTGTAAAGCGTTTGGTTCCTCCGAAGGACGACACGGTGCAATTGGTTGAAGTTATCTTATAAATGCACAAACAAACAGAAAATAAGTTCAATCAATTCCTACTAGACTTAATAAGAAATACTCACGTGGTTGTCAACCAGGGGGCCAGGAAACATTGAGTTCAACATTAAAGGCTCGCAAAAGCCTTTATATATATATGGGTCTGTTGTGTTAGAGAGTGGAGGGACTTTAGGTCAAAACTGTTGAGAACAACTGGTCAAAACTCACCTTGTCCGCAGTCGCCGACATCGAACCCACATGCAAGAACGTTGCACGCCTGGTCACAGAATTTATCAGCCAACCAAGAGTTAGCACAGCCTTGGTTACAAAAGGACATGCCCCCCAATCCTCCGAGACCACCGCCGAACTGCCAAGGCTGCCCGCCTCCAATCACAGCACCGCCCACTCCTCCAAAACGACTGCTGCCTGCAGTGCCTGCAAGGACAAATAAAGAAATAATGAAACAGATATAAAGATGGGATCAGAAACATGCAATTGGTTCAATTTAACCTGAGGGTGAGTGAATAATGACAGAATTTTAATTCTGGGGTGAAATGATGGCGTCAAAGTACCTTGACAGTCTCCTCCATCCCAATCACATGCAGAGTTGTTGCAGGCCTTGTCACAGTAGCCGTCTTTGATCCAGGAGCCTGGGCAGCCCTCAGCACAGTTTGGTACAGGCCAGGTGAGATACACCTGTGAACAGAGAAAACATCTCAGGTGATTATCAAGGCCAAATGAGTTGTAATGGAAAGATTATTCGTTTAATAATATAAATCACTTCCCTTCAAAAGTTCAGATTTTTTAAACTTTCTTTTGCTCACCAATACTACAAAACCAAAACTGGTCTCTACTTTAATAATATTTTAAAATATAATTTATTCCTGTGATGCAAAGCTGAATTTTCAGCAGCATTAGTCCAGTCTTTAGAATCCCATATCCCTTCTGAAATCATTCTAATAAGATCATTTGCTTCTCAAGAAACATTTCTAATTATTATTAATGTTGAAAACAGTTGTGCTGCTTTTTGTGAAATCCATGATACATTTGTTTCAGGATTTTTCCCTTTTATGAATAAAAAGTTCAAAAGAACATATATTTGAAATAGAAATCTTAAAGGGTCTTTACTGCCACTTTTGATCAATTCAATGCATTTCTTTTGAATAACAGTAATCATTTCTTTACAACAACCCAAATATTTTGAACAGTAGAGTATGCATTCATAGATCTTTTGTATGTATGCAAATTTTCCCTTTTAAATGTACATTTTACTTCAGATGTGCATAAACTGTTAGACATGCTGTTCAAATAAACAGTCTTTCTTACGGAGACAGATAGGCAGTCTTTCTGACCTTTTGACCTTTAGAGTGGCTGTAGAAGTCATCAGGCCACACATCCTTGCCAAACATGACATCATCATTGAGGTAGATGAACTTTTGAGAGAGTCCTGGGATTCGGTGAATGTGAGTCTCTATGGCAGGAGAACTGAATGTAGGCAGGTGGGTCTGGTTCTGAAAAATGTCCTGAGAGACAAACACAAAACGACAACAAGACACACAAGACTTTGTCAATTACTGTAGGTTTTACATAAATACACCCAATATTAGTAATAGAATGCATTACAGCACACGCTAATAAACAAGGACGTCCCTTTTGGAGAACGTTTAGAAATGTAAGCAGTCTTTACTGGTTATCCAAGGGTTTGCAAAGCTCACCTGGTGAGTAACCACTGAAACACGTGGGTTATCTAGGTTTAGCCAAGACGGTATCTGTCCATTGGTTATGATAAAGATGTGCCGCACCCATGGTGCGTGTTTTTCAATAGAACGTAGTGAATAACGCAGCTCCTCATTGTCTTCAAAGCGACTGGCAGAAACATCCTCATCCTGTTTAGACTGAAAAAGAGGAAGACTGCTTATTACGAAGTTATCTATTCATATTTTTTTTTAGTTAAGTGAACGCTTATCGAGCACACATTGGCTTACATTTTTGTGTGAAATTACAGTAAAATGTGCACCTGTGAGATGGCGCTAAGGTCCCAGAACAGGTATGCCGGACTGACTGTGAGCTCTTTTCCTTCCAACGTCAGGTTCTTCTTGGCCTGCTGGGTGAGGTCAGTAAAATCCTGCACTGTGTTTAGGTGGAGAAGAGCAATACTGGCCTCCGAGTACAGCTGCAACTGAGATAAATACATATACAAACAGTCACCCAGCAAGCACAGACTATTTAAGCAAATAAGCAAAGCTGCTTATTTGCTTTTTTACTTTTTAATTGCTGCTTATAACAGCTCCACAATCTGTGCCCTTTTCAAATCATTCCCATGCCACTGCTAAATCTACAGTAATAATACACACACACGTAGTAAACTTTTGGATGATGTTAATTTTCCCATCATTTCTAACTTCCTCTATCAGAAGGTTCTAGAGACACACCACAGCCATGTGACTGCCAGCATGCAGCCAAACTCCTGCGATGATGAGTTTGCGATCAGGTTTCCCTCAAAACAAGTTTTATCACTTGTCACAAAGCTGTTTACAAGCAGAGGGTCTTCATTGTTACCGTTCCCATTCCTCCAGTTAATGCCAAAAGAAGACTGCAGAGAGTCAAAATAGTTATCTATCAATAGCATTTACACAGAAAATGTGTTTCCAGGAACACCATCACTGCTTTGCCTGAAAGAAAAGGCCTTCTTCAGAAGTGTAGTGACACTGCCATCATCACATTAAGAAAAAACAACCTGCAGAACCAAAATAGTGAAGGGGGGAGTGTTTGTGTTTATAGATGCATATTTTATGTACAATATAGACAACAGGCTAAATCAATGGTTAAAGCTTAATTAGTTAATGACGTAATTAGTTAATATTTTATTACAACAAACTATTCTGAACCAAAAACCTAAAACAAAAATTTCTGCGTATTTATAACCAAGACATTATTTATGAATAGATTTTCCAATCGAGGACATCCCCAAAGGGACAATTTGCTAGATTTAGCTTACTTCTGGTGACAAATTTGTCCCCAACCTATAACTAAGTAGATTCCCCACACACACTTCACTGGCAGTATTTCTTGTGTAACAGTGTGTGCATTGGACAGAGGTCAAGGGAGAGCTTTCATCAACATTGCAAACAGGCTAACACACACTATAAATACAAGCCATCTCTCAACACTCAACTTCTCGCTCACTCTCTCTCTCCCTTTCTTTATCTGTTCCTCAGCTTCATTCTTTGCTATATTACCTTATGTGACCCACATTTGGATTAAAGACACATACAATACTAAAAGGAAAAAAAACCTACAGAAGACTCCCCCATCGTTCCGATTGGAATACAATAATGAGCAGAACAAGATATGAAAGGAAAGTTGTGGAGCTGTGGAAATTTCTGTTAGAAGGAGAGAATAGGACAAAAAAGTTTAAGATAAGAGTTACAGAGGGTATATGCAAGTGAAAAAGCAAACAAATACAAGAACAAAAGAAAGCAGCATGAATGAAAGCAAAAATGAACAAGAATGAAATCAAGCAAAAACTAAATAAGGCAAGTAAGAACACACAAAAAAATCAAGAAACAACAAATGGAACAAACAAAAGCAAAAACAAACCTTTGCAAGCAAGATAAAAAAAAAATGAAAGAAACTAAAACAAGCAAAGCTGAACAAAAGCAAACTAAAGTGAATGAAAACATAAGAGTTACAGAGGGTATATGCAAGTGAAAAAGCAAACAAATACAAGAACAAAAGAAAGCAGCATGAATGAAAGCAAAAATGAACAAGAATGAAATCAAGCAAAAACTAAATAAGGCAAGTAAGAACACACAAAAAAAAAACAAGAAACAACAAATGGAACAAACAAAAGCAAAAACAAACCTTTGCAAGCAAGATTAAAAAAAATGAAAGAAACTAAAACAAGCAAAGCTGAACAAAAGCAAACTAAAGTGAATGAAAAAAAACTAATTAAAAAGTCAGACAAGAAAAAACTAAACTAAGCAAAGACAAACATAAGAAACAAACAAAAGCAAGAACAACCTTTTGGAAGCAAGAATAAATTAAAGAAAGCATAGACTAAAACAAGCAAAGTTGTACAAAAGCAAGAACAAATGAAAGCAAACAAAAGTGGTTGAAAACTAAGCAAAATCAAACAAAAGAAACAAACAAAAGCAAGAACAACGATATGCAATCAAGAATAAATGAAAGTACCCTAACCAAGAATGAACACAAGAACAAACAACAGCATGAGCATATACAAACAAAATCAAGGAAGAACAAAAACAAGCAAAGGTAAACAAAAGCAATCAAGAAGGTAAGAGTGAAAGAAACAAATTAAAGCAAAGAGAAAAGAAACAAACTAAAGAAAATATAAACAAGAGAAAGAACAAACAAAAGCAAGCAAGTACAAAGCAAAGAAATGAAACAAGCAAACAAATAAAATATTTTAAGATATACAAAGCTCTGTGGGGAAACAGGAGAGGCAGAGATAGAAGGTCATCTAAACCCTGAAGCCTTTTTCTAGCGCAGGCTGGCGCCAGGCCATTTCAAACAGTTGTTGTACTGTTAACCCCCCATCAGTCCGCTCAAGTGTCACTGTAATACCCTGAGCTCTTATCACATGACCGCAGACAGCAGGACGGAGCCCAAACATTGCCCTAACCATGAGATAAACACTGAGATCCACAAAACACTGATTATTATTTTATAGATCAATGGATGGGCAACGGTTATGCAGCTCGACAGCAAGTAATAGTTCAATAAGACAAATATAGTAACTTCATTGGGGTTGCTGATGGATTAAGGCCTTAAAATTTCTCTGCAAGACTCAAACTGGAAATACACAGCCAGCTGTGTCTTTCTAACGGATCTTGTATGCCACCTTGTGGTCATTTCGAACACTGCATTCTACTGATTGTCTAATTTGAGAGGTTTTACCTGTTTGATTTTACTGGTCACCACAGCTGGTAGTTTGACCCTGAGCTGCTCAGTTTCCTTCAGTGACGCTGGGAACCCGCTCAAGTAGGCCAGAGTTTGCATGCGGACCAGCCCCGGAGCCTCTTTATCAGTCGTCTGTCACAGAAACACACGTTTAGACTCCATAAGTTTCACAAGGATTTGTGTAAAACAAAAAAACTTTGCGTTTCACACACATAAGATGTAATCCATTATAATAACATGTGAGTGTCAAATAAGGGTCACCTACAAAATGTACAGTGATGTGGGTTGCCAGGAACAGGCTCAGGAATGCTAATAAAACATTCATCAAAAGGAAATTGTAAAAAAAAAAAAAAAAAGTTCCTCTTGTTGGTTAAAGCATAACCGTAGACATCATACAGCAGACATCACAACAACAACAAAAGTTCCCTTTTCTGTGAATGACTTTGATTTGTAAAAGCAGCGTGGGATTTAGGTTTTGTACTGTGTTTTACTTAAATTTAGGTGTGGGATATTTCTGCTCATGTTCCCACTTTTTAGAAGGTGACATACAAGAAACAAAATGGCAATCCATTGTTTTTGCGATTTTTGATTTGATTATCAAAATCAGTGTACTTTTAGTATTATTTATATACTTTTGTAGTATTTATTAATATTTTGAATGAGCTTTTATTTGTATATTTTCATTTTAGTTTTAATTTTAATATTTTGTTAAATGATTTTGTAATGTTTATTAGTTTTTTTCTTAGCTATTAGCTTTAATTAAATTACATTTTTATTTCTGTTTTTGTAATTTTAGTACTTCAACGTACTTAATTTCAGTTAGCTGCCAATGCAACATTTCTAATGTTTTTTTGTTTGTTTTTTTTTAGTTTTCTAAGTTTCTGTGATGTCATATATCCGCATTTTGGTGAAGCTGGAATTTAAAATGTCCGAGTGTCGTTCTGTTCCAAGAAGCAAGCTGGAATTTCTAACGCTCAGATTGACATGGAAAGCAGAATTAGTCAATAAGAAGTGTTAGTACAGCAGTTATTTTTCTCACCAGATAACCTCTGTTGATGGAGTGTGTCAATGCATCCTTCAAAGCATCTGTATGGGCTTTTTCAGCTGCAACAGGACATAAAACTAATGTTAGACTAACACTGAATCAGTTAGTGGACAATAAATGTTGAAGTATATAAATGTTGAATGTATGTAATTCTTAAGAGACTGCTTATATGAATAATATATTTACCAATTATAAATTTATATTATATAAATAATTATATTTTTATTCCCAACTTCTGTTTAGTGTGAGACAGCATGTGAGTCTACACTATACAGTATGTAGAGTCATACTCTATAAAGGTGAGAAGTAGGTCATAATTGTACCTTCACTGTGGGAGTGGAAGAGAAGAACAGACACGCTTGAGGAGGGGTGGAGAGGTTTGGACACCTGTAAGAGTTGTTTTGCAGTGGAGAATGCTACTGAAAGTGTTGGCAGCTCCTTCAATGTGATGTTGGCAGGAAGGGATGGGTCCAGCACCAGCACAGGACCCATGATGCAGTGAGACAGCAGACATTCTGGCCTATCACAGGGCACACAGACTGAATTAAAGCTTTGATCTAGAGCAGGGGTTTTCAAACTTTTTGGAGCCAGGGACCCCTTATAGGGGAGAGGATTTTCCAAGGACCCCCTCATAATTATAACAGTGTTTAAGGCTAAAGTTTAATGTGGGTAGGAGGAATGAACATAATATGAATGTTTTATTGGTGCAAATGGTCTCCATTGTATACGTACTTTTTAATACTACAGCATAATATAATTAAATTTACCATATTTTCCGGAAAGTTGCACCAGGTCAGGGGGCAAAAAAACAAAACAAAACATAAGTTGCATCAGTGTGTAAGCCGCATTTTACTATTACTTTCAGAAATAATTTAAATACTGAATAGGTCTAAATAAAACGAATGTCAGGGGGAAAAAACATTATAAACACTAACATGAATTTTACTTCCCCTCACATTTGTATATTTTCATTTTAGTTTTAATTTTAATATTTTGTTAAATGATTTTGTAATGTTTATTAGTTTTTTTCTTAGCTATTAGCTTTAATTAAATTACATTTTTATTTCTGTTTTTGTAATTTTAGTACTTCAACGTACTTAATTTCAGTTAGCTGCCAATGCAACATTTCTAATGTTTTTTTGTTTGTTTTTTTTTAGTTTTCTAAGTTTCTGTGATGTCATATATCCGCATTTTGGTGAAGCTGGAATTTAAAATGTCCGAGTGTCGTTCTGTTCCAAGAAGCAAGCTGGAATTTCTAACGCTCAGATTGACATGGAAAGCAGAATTAGTCAATAAGAAGTGTTAGTACAGCAGTTATTTTTCTCACCAGATAACCTCTGTTGATGGAGTGTGTCAATGCATCCTTCAAAGCATCTGTATGGGCTTTTTCAGCTGCAACAGGACATAAAACTAATGTTAGACTAACACTGAATCAGTTAGTGGACAATAAATGTTGAAGTATATAAATGTTGAATGTATGTAATTCTTAAGAGACTGCTTATATGAATAATATATTTACCAATTATAAATTTATATTATATAAATAATTATATTTTTATTCCCAACTTCTGTTTAGTGTGAGACAGCATGTGAGTCTACACTATACAGTATGTAGAGTCATACTCTATAAAGGTGAGAAGTAGGTCATAATTGTACCTTCACTGTGGGAGTGGAAGAGAAGAACAGACACGCTTGAGGAGGGGTGGAGAGGTTTGGACACCTGTAAGAGTTGTTTTGCAGTGGAGAATGCTACTGAAAGTGTTGGCAGCTCCTTCAATGTGATGTTGGCAGGAAGGGATGGGTCCAGCACCAGCACAGGACCCATGATGCAGTGAGACAGCAGACATTCTGGCCTATCACAGGGCACACAGACTGAATTAAAGCTTTGATCTAGAGCAGGGGTTTTCAAACTTTTTGGAGCCAGGGACCCCTTATAGGGGAGAGGATTTTCCAAGGACCCCCTCATAATTATAACAGTGTTTAAGGCTAAAGTTTAATGTGGGTAGGAGGAATGAACATAATATGAATGTTTTATTGGTGCAAATGGTCTCCATTGTATACGTACTTTTTAATACTACAGCATAATATAATTAAATTTACCATATTTTCCGGAAAGTTGCACCAGGTCAGGGGGCAAAAAAACAAAACAAAACATAAGTTGCATCAGTGTGTAAGCCGCATTTTACTATTACTTTCAGAAATAATTTAAATACTGAATAGGTCTAAATAAAACGAATGTCAGGGGGAAAAAACATTATAAACACTAACATGAATTTTACTTCCCCTCACTCCAAATCATTTAAATTTTGTGACATTCATAACAGAACAAAAATAAATGAATATATATGTATATAAAAAATTTAATTATAGTGCCGATCATTACAAACAACATTAATGAATGAACATTAATGAACATGCAAATTAATGAATATCGATTCATATGTACTGCATATAAGGGGATACAAATCTTTTGTTGAATGCCTTTTTCAGCACCATTTTAAACTTTTCTTGTCTTAAATTCAATATTTGCTTGCATCCATTAATATTCACTTGCGTGTATACTTATACGAGTATCAATAAAAATTTAAAAAGGATGCAAGTTATTAATTTCGGATTTTAAAAAAATAGTGTTTCACGTCTAAACATTTATTCAAATGCAAAACTTAAGAATAAGCAAGCAGGTATGACCTGCAATACTCTTTTGAAAAAGAAATACATGTATATTTATTAAAGAGCCATACAGGTACCTAGTGGGTAAAACATGGCATTACACCACAAAAAAAACTTTAATTTGCCTCTTTGCATTGGAATTTAAAACCATTTATTCTATTTTAACCTTAAATACTACACAAATTGTAATATAAATAATAGAAATATTAGAAAAAATATTTTAAGTGGTCATTAATGGATCATAATTATTGCACAAATAGTATTTAGCACCAAAAGATCTCCTCAAAATATTAAATAAATATTATTGAACTAAAATAAAGAACATATATTTAACTAAAAAAATAGTTAAGGTGTATGGTCACATTATAAGTAAGGAATTCCTGAAGGTTAAATACAAGAAAAACATATTAATGTTGCCTCTCCATCACTCTCCAGAATAAAATGATACAGTAAATGTCATTTATGGTATTATACATATAATTTATTCTATTATAAATCTATTATATACTGTTGTACTCACTTTTTATATTATTCACTTTACTACAACTTGTACTACATATACTTTTTAATATTACATATCACTTTTACTGTGCACTGTATCAGTGCATAATATTTTACCACTGTAACTGTAAGTTTTACTGGATCCATAAAGGATTATCAGTTGCATTTGTTATTGTTTGTTGTGGAGTTTATCTGTATAGAGTGCTATCAAAATAAAAAGCAGACTACCAAGAGTGTCACTTTTTGATTTGTATTCGCTGGTTTTATTCAATGTTCTCAATGATGGAAAATTATTAGTGCTTAAAGATGTATTATTTTGATTTTCTTCCAGTATTTCAAAGGGAATGAGCTGTGTTCTGACCTGAAGCACAAGAAAAGCTAAAATGTTGGGGTTGAAGACAGAGAAAGCAATGAAACAACTTAATTTCATTTAATGTACCTTAAAATTACAAAACATGTATATGTAACAGTTATAGTACATTAACATTAGAATTGTAAACCGAAAAAATCAATCAAATCAACAAGTGAGACAAGTGTGAGTTTTCACAATTTCTTACGAAAATTAATAATTTTCCAAACCTAACTAAATAACTGGAGGCAGAGTTATTTTTAACTCCATGTGGATCACAAACCTCTGAAATCGGTTGATAAATGTAAACGTTATCGTGTTTTTATCCAGAAAAAACCGCAGCTCCCCGTTTACCTCCATTTATTTTTAAGGCAGTCTTGCCCTCACAAACATGGCGGACGCGTTGACGTATCGCAGCAACGGCTCAAAGCGGCCAATGAGGCGTCTAGGTATTTATATGTCTATGGTTACCACCGTCGAGCTAGGTGGGCGTGGCTTCAGCAACCAGCTAAAGGTGGGGCCTTTTTGCCCATTTTCGATTATCCGGGAGTGACGCGCTGCCAAGATGGCGACGGCCGGCTCCGCCCACTTTAGGCTTCAAAAACCTCTTCAGGAACCTACGGGTGACGTCACGGACACTACGTCCATGTTTTTATACAGTCTATGATTAAAACTTACAAAATCTGAAAGCTGAGACTTTGTTTCATATCACAAGCAGAGGTGCCAATTTGGCGTGAGATTTACATGGGCGGCGTGAGAGCGTGAGACAGAGCCGTCTTGGTCTCTGTGAACTTCTTACTAAAATGAAGAAAAACTCTGCGATACTGTCTACTTGTCAAACAGACATGAGAAATATATTTAGCTATATAAACCTTGAAGTGCCCGCTTTTAAGTGTTTGCGCTTTGCTTATTTGACATTAATGCATTATATAAGTCACTTTGGAATATAAATCATAGCACGTTTCAGAAGATAAAAAACGCGAGTTGCAGTCCGGTAAATACGATATAGCAAATTATTTTGCGGACCCCCTGGCTTTGCGTCACGGACCCCAGTTTGAAAACCCCTGATCTAGAGCTAATCTTTATGAGAGATACAGCCATTCACACTATTATTCTGCAGTGCAGCAGCTGCTTTTGACACAGGAAAACTCTGGTGGCATAAAAAAACAACTGTGGCTGTGACAAAAGCCCTGGTTGCTACGAAACAGGAAATGTATAAACCGCACAATATTTAGTTTGCTTCATGTCCTGCAGACATGTGAATAGGATAAGAATGAAATGAACTTTAGCTTATTTACTTATTTAAAACACTCACCTTCCCTTAGGAGCTTCAGTTATTTCAGATGCATTTTTTCCAAGACGCTCCCTAAAAAACAGCACATAAAACCCTTTTAAACATCATTAAGCAACTTTTGCTATTCTGACATTAACAGTACTGTCAGCACTGAAAAATAAAGATGGGAGTGTCCCACCATACTAAACATACTAAAATACAGGACACAATAGATTCTGAATAGAAACTGCACCCACAAATATTATATCTGCATTTTTATTTGATTAGCTTTGGATGCATGTGGATACAGTGCACAAATCTCTAAAAGCCACGAGATGTTAAACCTTTTACCCTTACTCAAAATTCAATATAATCTTTGTTTTTGCAATAGACAGGTGTGCAATTAAAAATATGTTATTTTGAATAAAATAAAACATTAAATACAATAAATTTGTGGTAGTAGAAATCCTGTTCAAGAAGTAAAAATAAAAAATAATAGTAAAATTAAATTAAAAATTAGGATTTTTTTCTTTATGATTTAATAATCAATTTATCAAACAATTCAATTAATACCATCAAATTATCACCATGCAGAATGTGGCAAAGCATGTCATTCAAAATGCATTGTTTTGAACAAAATAAAATAAATGAATACAGTACTATGATTAGTAGTAGTTGTGGTAGTAGTAGTAGTAGTGGAAATAATAATGATGATAATAATAATAATAATAATCCTGATCTAAAGTAAAAAGAAACATTATATATTGTTTCCTTTATTATTTAATAATCCATTGTCATGCAGAATGTTTAAAACCTTGTGCAATTCAAAATACAATGCTTTGAATAAAATAACAATAAAATAATAAAATGTATAATAATAATAGTAGTAGTAATAACAATAATTAGTTGCAGTCCGGAAAATACGGTATAGCAAATTATTTTGCGGACCCCCTGGCTTTGCGTCACGGACCCCAGTTTGAAAACCCCTGATCTAGAGCTAATCTTTATGAGAGATACAGCCATTCACACTATTATTCTGCAGTGCAGCAGCTGCTTTTGACACAGGAAAACTCTGGTGGCATAAAAAAACAACTGTGGCTGTGACAAAAGCCCTGGTTGCTACGAAACAGGAAATGTATAAACCGCACAATATTTAGTTTGCTTCATGTCCTGCAGACATGTGAATAGGATAAGAATGAAATGAACTTTAGCTTATTTACTTATTTAAAACACTCACCTTCCCTTAGGAGCTTCAGTTATTTCAGATGCATTTTTTCCAAGACGCTCCCTAAAAAACAGCACATAAAACCCTTTTAAACATCATTAAGCAACTTTTGCTATTCTGACATTAACAGTACTGTCAGCACTGAAAAATAAAGATGGGAGTGTCCCACCATACTAAACATACTAAAATACAGGACACAATAGATTCTGAATAGAAACTGCACCTACAAATATTATATCTGCATTTTTATTTGATTAGCTTTGGATGCATGTGGATACAGTGCACAAATCTCTAAAAGCCACGAGATGTTAAACCTTTTACCCTTACTCAAAATTCAATATAATCTTTGTTTTTGCAATAGACAGGTGTGCAATTAAAAATATGTTATTTTGAATAAAATAACAAAACATTAAATAAAATAAATTTGTGGTAGTAGAAATCCTGTTCAAGAAGTAAAAATAAAAAATAATAGTAAAATTAAATTAAAAATTAGGATTTTTTTCTTTATGATTTAATAATCAATTTATCAAACAATTCAATTAATACCATCAAATTATCACCATGCAGAATGTGGCAAAGCATGTCATTCAAAATGCATTGTTTTGAACAAAATAAAATAAATGAATACAGTACTATGATTAGTAGTAGTTGTGGTAGTAGTAGTAGTAGTGGAAATAATAATGATGATAATAATAATAATAATAATCCTGATCTAAAGTAAAAAGAAACATTATATATTGTTTCCTTTATTATTTAATAATCCATTGTCATGCAGAATGTTTAAAACCTTGTGCAATTCAAAATACAATGCTTTGAATAAAATAACAATAAAATAATAAAATGTATAATAATAATAGTAGTAGTAATAACAATAATTCTGTTATAAAGCAAAAACAAACATTATGATTTTTATTTCTTTTAAGATTTATTAACCCAGTAATCAAAATGGTTAAATAAATACAATCAAATTTCCACCATTCAGAATGTTATAAACCATGTGTAATTCAAAATACATTGTTTTGAATAAAATACAAATAAAATTATAAAATAAATTAATAGTAGTAGTAGTTGTAATCATTTTCTAAAGTAAAAAAAGGTTTTAATTTCCTTTATGATTTATTAACCCATTAATCAAATGGTTAAATAGATTCCATCATATTCCCACCATGCAGGATATTGTGAACCATGTGTAATTCAAAATACATTGTTTTGAATAACATAAGAATAAAATAAAATACCAAAATAAATCAATAGTAGTAGTAATAGTAGTAATAGTAATAATACTGTTTTAAAGTTTAAAAAAAAGGACACATTATGATTTATTTTCCTTTCAAGCGGTTACACACAAGTACCATCAAATTTCCCCTCAATCCCAATCTCTCCTCCGATGAGGATAAATGTGACCCTGGACCACAAAACCAGTCTTAAGTAGCACGGGTATATTTGTAGCAATAGCCAAAAAAACATTGTATGGGTCAAAATTATCGATTTCTTTAAAGGTGATTTTCTCAATATTTTGATTTTTTTTGCACCCTCAGATTCCAGATTTTCAAATAGTTGTATCTCGGCCAAATATTGGAAAGGAAAGCTTATTTATTCAGCTTTCAGAAGATGTATAAATCTCAATTTCTAGAAATTGACCCTTATGACTGGTTTTGTGGTCCATGGTCACAGATAAATACTACACTAACGTTGTCTGTGTGTGTGTGTTTTATGGCTGGGGTACCTCAAGGCCTTCTGTTCGTCTTCCAACTGCTGTCTCACAGCACGAAGATCCTTCAGCAGGTCTGTGTCTGTGCCGTTTACCCAGGTGTAAACCACATCAATGGGCATCGGTAGGCAAAGCCTGGAATTATACAAGCATATGAAGCAAGGCAGGTACGTGATTCCAGGAACATATATATGAAAAGATGTATTCTTTAAAATCATGCATTTAAAAAAAATTAAAATCACAGTAATGACAGACTGACATATCAGCTGAATTTTAGTCATTCTCAAATAATAAGCATGAGATAACTGTGCCCCTTTAAAGAGTGATCAGTTAACACAGCACTTTATTACTGTGCATGAATGAAGCTGGTTTCATTGATCTGCTGCTCACCTTGTCTGAAAGGACTTTCCTGCAACATTATCTCTGTAGGAATCAAACAAGACATGGTACTGATCTCGACTCCACTCTACCACAACCTGCAAACCAAACCAAACAAAACCAGCCAGCCAGTTAATACACAACACCAAACACTTACTAAAAGTGTCTAAGTTTGATTTGCAACCACTATGTAACAGGTAAGAGTCAGATTGCACAATCAGCTTTGATCAGTAATCAGTGATTGACACAGTATGCAAAAATAAGAGGATACATGCATGGCCTGAATGCGAATCTCATGAAGACAGTATATTTTGGAATTTTACCCTAGTTAGCGTACATACCTCTCCAAACTGAAAAGCAGACACTATCATGAGGACTAGTCCTCCGAAGCACAGGTACAGTCCATAGCGATGAGACAGACAGGTGTATGTCTGCCGCTGCAGCAGTTTAAGCACCGAATTAATGATCAACATGACTCTCCCCGGCCATCAACATCTCCTCCTCCATAAACACTTAATGAGGACACATGTTTCCTTTGGTGAAATTAAAAATAGCTTCATTACACTAAAACATACTGTCACATGATCGCATGCTAAACAATCAAACGCTGTAGTTCCTCATTGGTAGTGATCAGGTGATGATGGCATAGACGATATATATATATATATATATATATATAGGTATATGTACTATCATACACCATCGGAGAGAATGTTTATTTAACAATCCATTTCATATTTTATACAAATTTTAAATATATATTATTTAAAAACTATAAAGTGTTTTAAAAAAATAAATATTTACATTTATAAAACTGTTTAAAATTGTGTGTGTTGTGTTGTGAACAGAAAGTAGGCATAATAATAATTTAATGCTCTCTTTTCTTTTCTGTGTTTAGTAGCCATTTAAAGATATCTTGGTCAAAAATATTGTAATGCCTGCTTTCAAAATTAATCTGCAAATAGCTGACAAATAGCTGAAATACAATTCATTACTTATCAAGACAAAGTTTTTTTTCATGCATGTAAAAAATGTAAAGTGAACAGTGAGATTTATCTCAAATGTAATTATGCAGTGAAAGAAAGAAAGAAAGAAAGAAAGAAAGGCTCTGTGCGTTGTTCACATGTGCTGGTGGTAATAGTATATGGGTAAAACAATGAGGAAGAGAAAGATTCCCAGTGAACACGTGACACTATAGATAGAGTAATAAACGTCGAGTTATTGTTCATACAGTATGTGTTCAGTGAAGTATCTGTGTCTTAATGTCTGATCTCTGCTGTCCACTTTGCTTTTGTCTCCGTGAATGGTGATGCACCGCTTACACCCAGCCCTCAGGAGAGATGTTTTGGTTCATGCAAGGAATGTGCTTTTTACCTACTTTTCTGGTAATCTGGTCATCGAGTACGTTCATTATATCTTACATCATCGCTTTAGTTCGACGAGATGTTGATGTTATCCTTCCTTACATTAGGTATGTCACTCGTCTTTTTATCTTGAGCTTGATTTTAGTTTGGCTACACATCTGGACTATACAAATTCACAACTTTTAAAATAACATAAACCAGAAATAGCTTATAATAGCCTATAAAGTTATAATATAGTAACAAGACTATGTTTAAACGGGCATTTATATACAGCTGCTAGATTTAAGAATTTGAAAAAAGTTTTTGCAGACAGTTCGTTTAGTTTCGTTTTCTACTCAAAAGTTGTATGTTGGCTCGAGTTCAAAATCAGTATTCAGTGCAGGAAACAGGACAAACTCTTTAAAGACTATAATATAATATAATATTATATTATATTATATTATATTATATAATGTGTATATTAAATAGTGTCATAGCCTATGTAATTTTATATATATAACAATGATAACACCCAATACTAATTAATAATAAATATTTTTAAGTCAAAGTCATATTAATGTATTGTAATGGTGAGGCTTCACTTTTATTGTCATTCAGTAGACTGTGGAACTTGTGTGTGTTTAAATATAAAATATTGCAAGTTTATGATTAAATGTTTCTGAATTGCTTCACAAATATGAATGTTCTTTTTTATTATTTCTGTGAATGTCTCTGAAAAGTGATACAGGGGCCACTCCACCTGAGAGCTGTGTGTTTGGATTCATGTCGACAATAAATGCCTTTGCAGGTATGACTAACAACCAGTCATTTGATTTCAGTTTGATTTGATTTCCAGCTCATACTTCAGAAAGTGCAAATCCCCCACCAGCAGCTTCAGGAAACTCCTTACGATTAGGCTATCTGTGTCACAACCTATGGGAAATTGCACAACGTGAAGTCAGCCGCAAACAGCTTGGTTTTGACATGTGAGAGGAAAGCAGTGGGAATGTCTCGAGTGTACTTTTCTTTAGTAACAGTGGAATAGCACTCATTCGGGTCTCACTTCTCTTTCTGCTGAAAACGAAAACATATTTTTTTCCCATCCGTGACACAGCTGGAGTTCAGTGTGTTATAATACAGCACCACAACTAAAACCTCAAAACAACTGCAGAAATGAAACTTAATGCCAAATCACAGGTTATCAGTGCAACAACCATCATGGCAACTCTACTGAATTAATTTTTAACCTATATTTTCAGTGCATTATCCTGCTTAAAGCAGTTGTATTCTGTTTAAATGCATGAGTGAATATTCTTTACTGTATTGCACAGCAATTTCCACTGTAGTTTTAATCAGTAAAATCAATTGTTTCCCAGCCTTTGCTACTATGTATGCTGAATATAAATTTGTGGAGAGAGTCCATGAGAGAACCGGCGCCGTGTCCCCTTGTCTGAACAAGGTTTCTTTTGCTTTTGGCATCGTCTCTTGTGTCGGCATGTGTTTGGTGGCTACATTTCAGGTATATCTAGTTCAACCAAGAACTTTTTACTCACTTTTTTACTCAATTTATTTACCTTTGTCATTCCAAAAAAAGCTATTTCAAAAAATGTCCTAGTGTGTTATTATCCATATAATGAAAGTCGTTGAGATCCTAAACTGCTTTGGACCCCACTGACTTTCACTGAACAGATGAAAACAAAATATCTCCTCGTGTTTCACAGAAGAAAGAAAGTCATACAGGTTTGGAATGAAATGAGGGGAGTAAATGATAACTCTCTCTTTAATGGTGCTCATGTATGTTGTTGTGTTCTAGGAGACGACGGTGATGCCAGTCCATGATTTCGGTGCTTTACTCTTTTTCTTATCTGGGGTTACATATGCTGTCATTCAGAGTGTGATATCGTACCAAGGTCTTCCTTATGGATGCTCTAAGTCCATTTGCCATTTCCGTGTGTTCTTCGCTGGACTGGCTGCTCTAGCTGTAATACCCAGTATCCTTTCTCAGCGGTACAATATGTGCTATTGGTTGACATTCTGAATGTAGTTTTGCTAGTGTAAACTGGCATCTGCTTACATGGCTGGTCATTCAAATCCACACAGCATGCTGATTTTCCATGTAAAGACATGCGCTGTTTATATTTCAGATCAAACAGATTGTCTTTAACGCCTTATTCCAGCAATTTTTTGTGCAATTCCTGTCGGAACAAGCCAACTTCACTGGGACACCAATGATAAGGTACAGTTCATGTCACTAACCACACATTCCAGTGCTTAAATTGTAGCAAAAATGTATTGCTGAATGTTTAAAGTTGCTTGTCTTGTTTTCCTGCTTCTAAAGGACTACACACTTCATATAGTGAGTGTCGCATGTGAATGGATCACTACTTTCAGTTTTGTCTTCTTCTTTTTAACATACATCAGAGAGTTCCAGGTGAGTATTTAAAATTAGACTTACACTATTATTCAAAAGTTTGGGGTCAGTCATTTTTAATTAAAAACGAATACTTCTATTCTGCATAGATGCATTCATCGAAAGTGAAACTAATCAACTAATCAAAAGGGACAGTAAATACATTTATAATAAGTTTCAAGTAAATACTGTTCTTTTGAACTTTCTATTTATCAAAAAAATACTGAAAAATTTTCAAAGGATCATGTGACATTGAAGACTGGAGTAATGGCTGCTGAAAATTCAGCGTTGCCATCACAGGAATAAATGCCATTTTAGAATATTTTCAATTTTACTGTATCACATAAACACAGCCCTTGTAAGCAAAATAGACTTCTTTCAAAACCATTAAAAAAAAAAAATTTTTAAACTGACCCCCAGCTTTTTTCACATTGTTCCAAATCAGAATTATATTAATTCGGATTCCTTTTAGTGCCTCCAAGATCATATTAACGTTTCTTTTATTTCTTTTTACAGCAATTCACACTGAAACTGACTGTTAATTTAATAGAGTATTCATGACCTTGACATCATACCGTTACAGAATGTTTCACTGTTTTTGTGCATTTTAGAATTGTATTTTTATACAACTTACTACCTTTTTCATGTTGAAAGATCTGCTAAAGTACGGTGTAATCATTGGCAGTGTATCTTTTTGTAGCTTGTATCTTGTTCTAGAAAAAGGGCATAAACATGTACTTGAAATGTAATCTAACTACTTGATGCCAAACAATTTATAAAGCTGCTTCATATTGATTCTTATTTTAGAAAGCATTTATGATCAGCCAAGACAGAATAGTTGAGCAAATTCTTATTCGCATTACTGTCAAATCAATCTTTGGTTATAGTTTGAACTTCTTGCTTTATGTTGTTTTACTCCACAATCATTCCGAAAATTCAGTGCAGCTGAAAGTGAGCAACAGGTGTGTTTTAATCTTGCACTTTATGAAGTGGAATTTGAAAAAAGTCCATGCTTGCACAATGTGTCTGACTTTGTAATTGTGAAATAAAAACACATGATGATGATGTGCATGACTAAAGAAAAGTGATTGCTTTAATATTTGTAATGATAGGAATAACAGCATACACTACCATTCAGAGGTTGTGTCAGTTACAAACTATTTCTTTTTCAAATAAATGCTGTTCTTTTAAACTTCATATTCGCTCACACACACACACACACACACACACACACTCACACTCACACACAGATTTCTGAAGGATCATGTGACACTGAAGACTGGAATAATGGCTGCTGTAAATTCAGCTTTACATCACAAGAATAAATTACATTTTAAAATACATTCAAATAGAAAACACTCATTTAAAATTGTAATAATATTTCGCAATATTACTGGTTTTACTGTATTTTTGACCAAATAAATGCAGCCTTGGTGAGCATAAGAGACTTCTTTCAAAAATAAAATAAAAATCTTACCAATCCCATACTTTGAATGGTAGTGTAGGTTTTAAAGTAACTTAATTTCACTGAACTCAGATATAACAACTTTTAATAAGTTAGATTTGGAAAAGACAATATAAGCAAATCTGTATTGACTGTGCAACACAATAAGTATTATTAGAAACTTAACAAAATCTAACACATAGTCATTTTTGTTATTGAAATTACTGTGATTCAAAGTCAGTTTAAGATCGTTGCAACTAAAGCTAAATTTACAAACATAAAAAAAAAATTACTCAGCTACATTCAATTTATGAACAGATTTACAAGGCTGATTTCATAAAAATCTACTTCATAAAAACACTCACTGCATCTTTTTATTGTTATTAGATGTACATACTAGGCATTTAACATGTACATGTCAGGCAAGAGAT